TATGGGCGTTAAGTGACTGAAATAGAAGGAATGAAAATAGGTATGACATAGTAGGGACCATTTACCAGCACCTAGGAGCTATTTCAGTTAGTTCTTGGTTTACACTGCTAAAAAATTAAGAATTCTTTGCTCTCACCTTGACCTTCTCGAAACACTTATCACACAGGCGACAATGGAAGAAACCATCAGCACTTGGCTGAGCGCCTTTCTTGCTACCAGAAGACGGTTGCGTACGAGGCGCCGACTATAAACGATCGAATTCGAATGAAAAAATCAGTAAACGATTGAAAAAAAGCTAACCGGCTGATAGTTTCGCTGCAAGCCAGATAGATCTTTTAGAGGTGGTGACGGCCGTAGGCCAAGTAATGACTGTGAAATCGACGACGAAGAGGGAAGTGATGGCACGTCTCGGAGTGGTGATGTGGCGACATTCGCTTGTGAAAGGCTGAAGCGACAGGAAGTATAAATGGATCTTAGAATGCAACAAGGGTAGCAGATAAAACTAACAAGCTGCCAGTTCGTCCTCTCATCTCGAACATATCCTGACCGCAGTATGACGGTGCCGTCGTATCCGATTCCGCATCTGATGAGACGTTCTCATCGACAGAAGCCAATTTAGCTGGTGTACCTTCGTCCATCTGGAAAGTAATCAGTAAACAGTGGGTAAACAACTTCTGCTTGAAGTCGGGAAGGTGGAACGGGCCAATATTGATGCTCAAACACTCATACACGCACCGACCGTCAGAAAACTCCTGACACTGTTTCTAACCTAAGGGAACACCGCCACTAGGACGACATGCACAGGAAGGTGACGGGGAGGGTAAAAATTTCTATAGAATTAGATGGTTGTCCTACCTGCTGCAGGTTCAACTCCAGCAATTGCCGCTTTCGTCGAAGATTCCTGAGTTTACGGTAGTCATCAGGGCAGGCTTTTTTCCAGGTATAGTAAAATTCGACACATTCTCGGACTGTCTTGCTCGGCAACTGAAAGGACGCGAAATTTGGCAATCATTCACGATGAAACC